CCGTCGACAATGGTCAAGCTGGTTCATATTTGACATAGAATTTACTTGAAATTCGTCAGACAATACCATCAATAACAGCTGAAAATAAGCATCTAAAAGAATAAAGAAATATTTTGTCATATTATTTCTTTATAATTCACCCATTGCACGCAGTCAAAATATTCCAGATGAGATAACATTAGAAAACATTTTTTTTTGTACTAAAGATTCTTCTTGATGATATTATTGTAAAATGACAAATAAAATATTTCATAATTCACTATAAAAAAAAAAATTTCAAATAAATGAAATTGTTGTGTCATCAAAAATGCAAACCATATTCAACGTTTGACTACGGCGACGTCGATTAAAATGGCTCATTATCTGCCTTCGATAGTATTTGATATAATAGGGTGTGAGTGTGGATGAAGACAGTATCTATACTCACACCCAAAATAAGAAATAAGAGAATAAATATTCTTACTAATAATGTTGGTTTTGTTGGAAATAATTCCCAATTTTTTTTTGGCAATTTCTTTGAATATTCTAACTATATTTTCTTGATCACTTTCACACTGCAATTCTCTGATTAATTTTGTTACTTCTTCGAAATAAACGACCAGTATATAACTTCAATCTGGTTTACAAAATCAAAAGTTAATTTTTAAATTAAATGTAACTTCTTTTAGCATTGGTACATTCCATAATGAGTTCTCGTGTTCATCTATTACCGATGTTGCTAGTAGAAGTATTTCTTTTGATTTCGGTCGAGAATATAAATCTTCTTGCTCTTTCACATGCTGTAGGACAATTAATTACTTTAGCAAGTGCTAAATGATTCCATAATTTACTATAATGATGTCAATTATACATTTGTCGATTTAAACTGAATTAATTTGTTCAAATAGAACAAAAAAAAAATTAAAGAAAAAAAAATCACCTAATAACTATTGTATAATAATTCCATTGATTCATTATAATTTTACGTTAATTGTAATACTTCAGTTAATCAAGATAAAATTTCGAGCACGAACATAATCAGATAAAAACAGAAGATTTTAAGTTCATTAATTAATTTATCTTACAGTTTGAGTTGTTCACGAGTTATTTAAAAATATTATTTATATCTAAATAAATTTTTATTAACAAATTTCTATGAACAAAATAAAAAATCTTTTTGACAGAAGAGTAAATGCATTTTCAATTATTATTCGTTGTAATCTGAATAATAAAATTAATTATTCGAAAATTTTGATTAAATACCAAACTTGTTCAATAATAGATAATCGTGATTGTTATTGAGGAACGAAGCATTGTTTTATTTTACAAAACTCACATATTTCATCATTATTTAATAAATGAAGATCTGTATCAAGATCATCTAATCATCAAACTTGAAAAAAAATCTCATTAAATATTATTTGTAAAATTAAATTAAATTTTTTACTATCTTGTAATAGATCTATTTCTACATGTCGAATTGAATAATTTGCATTATTTGATAGATCAGAGATTTCATAAACGATAGTGGATCGTCGAAGCCATTTACAACGATGCATATAAGTAAACGAATAAAAATAATTTGAGATGAAACTAAATAAATTATTTATTTTTGAAAGTTTTCAAAGAAAAATGAACGAGATAATAATTGAAATTTATCGAATAAGATTAATTCATTTTCATCAGATAAACATTTGTAATAGTTGAGTAATGATGAAAGAACTAATGAAAAATTTGTCCAAATACTATTGATTTAATAAAAAAGTATTTTCGATATTTCTATTGCTCTGGAATGTGATAAATTTCACGCCTTAAAAAATTTTCAAATAAACTATTACTTTCAGGATAAAACTGATATTTTCAAAATTTTCTTTTTTCCAATACTAGAATGTAACATAATAGTGATTAGATAGACAATTATATAAAACTTACGTTTATAAAAATTTACTCACTACAAAAATGAATGGTCTATAACTAAAATGATTTTGAAAAACATCATTTAAAAGAAGCGATATAATATTAAAACTCAAGGTTACTGTCTATTTTTCCAAATAATTAAAACGTTTAAATTTATATAAACAGTTTAAACAGCTGTAATATTAAGAATTATTGAAGAAATTAATTTTTTTTAAAGAATAACAATCATTATATAATTAGATGTGTATTCAAAAAAATAATTTTTGAACAATTAATCCATGTTGCATCTCGTTTAAAATTGTCTGTAACATTTATAATCATCATGAACTTCATATAGATTGAGATTATGAAGATGAGAATATTGAACAATTGAGAAATCTTGATCATCATCTTTTGATATTCTAGATTATTTATTCTTTTGTAGTTTTTGATTAACTAAAGTTAATTCTTTCATTAATGGAAATGATTGAGCAAAATATAAAGAAAAAATTCATGTCCAAAAAATTGTTCAACAAATAACGATATTTCACGAACACATTCAAATAACCTACCTGAAAAATTATTTGTTATCTTATTGTACTTTTTCAATGTATATGAATATGAATAAATATAATATCGACCTTCTACTGTCTCTGAAAAATAATCAACACAAGTAATAATTTGATTATCAAGATCAATAATTGAATGAATATTATATATAAATTTATTTAATTGTGCTATATGATCAATAATATTCTTCAAACTGAATTCTTCTTCTAAATTTAACATTAGATGTAGAAATGGTACAAGTAATTCATCATATCTATATAGAACCAGATAAAAGAATTGTACGAAGCGTCTTAGCTTAGGAAGTTTTTCCTAAAAAAAATAATATTATTGACTCGTTTAATTAGATATTAAATAATATACTATCAAGTAAAAAAAAACGACAGTCAATGAAATCATCCGAAGTAATGTGTAATTGTAATAGATTTGATGAGAAAATAGCTGGAGGTGAATAATGAAATAATAATAATTGATACCAAAGTGACGATGAGACAAAATTAAAATACTGCAAATTGATAAATATATTAATTATGTTTATATTTTCTGTTATACTTCGATTGTTATTTCGACTCCTATGGATAACAGGTGAAAAAATTGAATTTTTAAATGTATGAAATAGAAGTATTTTATCTGAATATGAATAAAATACAAAAATGTCACAGAAAAAGATTTTATACTTTCTTGCAAATCTAGTTTTCGCCATAATAACATTGTTCGAGTCTATCGAAACAAAACAATATTTTCAGAAGTGACTCGACAGATTCTATCTAACTATTTAATTTTTCAACTAATACTTCATCGATTGAAAATTCATAAAAACGATCATTTGACTTACACAATATTTTTTGTATTTTATACATGCCAAATAAAATGATCATCTATAAATGTTTCAATTGATTATCATTAATAAATTGCGCCGAAAAAAACCAATAAACTAAGATCACGTAATGGTTAAGCAGGATATATTGAAAATTCATTTCTTTACATATGACATGCTGTCTAAATAAAATAGAAAATCCTTTACAAGTTATTTTTCATCGACATTTTCATGTAAAATAGCAATTGACACTTGGGTGGGCGTGGGATGTGAGTATACTTGTGATAGAAGAAAAGATACACATCCGCATCTACATCCTCAAGATTAAATCGATATTCTAATGTGTGAGTGAATCGTAAATGAAGTTTAGAGAAAAAAGTAGTTTTTGTCTAGTTGTTTATAAACTATCGAATGCTCGTTCGATCTGAATTGACACCTTTTTTCTTTTTTTTCCTGTCGTTGTTGAGGAAAATTATGCTGTTGTCGACAAGTTTATTTTCAATCGGAAAAGACACTCAGTATATATTAAGTAAAACACAGCAAGACAACTAGATGTTTTTTCTTTCAAAATAAAAAAAAAAAATAAACTTGAATAATATTTTCTTTCGTCTCTTCTTGCCAATAATTGGTTGATCATTAGTATCATTCGATGATGGATCAATTCGATCTAATTCATCTATTGTTGCGTTTCCATATTCTCAAATTATTTTACCATATTGTCTTTCTGTTGTATGATGTTTATCTCCACATATTTTACTCATTGCTTCAGTTTTGTTATTTTCATTTTGATTTTATGATTATTGAATTTGTTTTTCAATAACGCACCTTCCCCATGGTGTTGTTTCTCATTGCATTGTTATAATTATAAAAGTTCTATAGTAGAGAAACAGGAGAAAAGTCGATCGAAATCAAAGAAGATTTTTTCAATTGGGAAAAATAAACCATTGAATATTCATTTTTATTTTTATTTAAATATGAAGAAATCTATAAAAAAAATGTATATCGCTAGACATTTAATTATCTCTTAGTCTTATTAATGACTTTATAGATGTGCGTAGGTTACTAATTGAGTGAGTCAATCGAGATATTGCAAAGGTCGAATATCAAATGAAATCATGTCGATAAAATTTCTTAAACAATTATAAAGGACTCAGCTGTACCGATGTCGTTTTATAAACCGAGATTATTTATTTTTGTATATTATCATAGAATTTCAATGTCTACTGAAATGAACTTATTTCAAACAAATGTATTGATTTTAAATTCTCGTTTTAGAAACGGATTTCTTTATCTTGAAATAAAAGAAAAACGTTCTAATGATAAGTTAATTTTTCAAAATGATCAATATATGCATTAAAAGTTAATAATAATGATAATAAAATTAGAATTCCAATTTCAGTTGCTTTTGTAACTCGACATAATTGTCCTATAAATTCCGATAAAGGGGCTGCACCGGATGATGAATTTTCACTAAACAAAAATTAAAGATTACTTTAAATTAAATTCGGTTTCATTTTTAAATGTCTTACCGATAAATGTGGTACATAGGATGCTGCACAAATATTAAATGGATTATGTTCATCATAATTTAATGGATGGGTGTGGGTGTGGGTGTTGGTTGTAATTGTAAATGAGTAAAATCAGCAGCTAATTCACATGAACTTTTTTCATTATCTTTTGCTAAATCTTCTTTTGCCATTGAAATTTGTAAATCAACAATATATTCTTTACATATTTCAAATCATTGTTGACCTTGAAATTTTCCATTTTTTGTTAAACTATAAGCGATTTGACAACGTCCAACTAATTTTTCTGATTTAAATCCAACTGCTAGATAAAATAATTTTGGTGAACGTACATCACGCCTTAATAATTAAAATAAAAATTTAAAAATATTTATTAAATAAACCAATAATTTATACATTTGAATGAAAACATACAAGATCAGATGGTATCTTAATTATTATTAAGCTTTTCTTTATTGAAATCATCTTCATCACCTTCAATTTGTAGTTTATCATCAGCCCAGTCTCCACCACTTGTTGCTGTTTCATGCATATGAAGATTTAAAGCAAGTTTTGCTGTTATGTTTGATATTAAATTTGCTTTGATTCTTGTTGACTTATTGGACATGGTGGTAAAATTAATTTAGCATTGAGATTTATTTCAGATAACTAAAATAAATAAATATTTTATTTTGAATTACTAAATTTAACACGAGATTAATATTGATTAAATGTATGTCTATCTTATTATTTCATATCTAACATATCAGTTAAACAAAGAACAAGTAATAATAACTTTGTTAAAATCCTAGTCTACCGGCTTATTCTTTTTATGAAACTGAATATGAAAAGTCTTCTTATTCTGTTTTTAATCTACATTCTAATGAATATCAATCAGAGAAAATAAACTAAACTAACTATGACATGGTGATTATTTGAAATGTCTTTTAAAAAAACATGTTATCATTCAATGTCGCAATAAATCTCGAGAATCATCATAAACTTCTTTATAGAACAGTACAGAAAACTCTTTAGATAAATGATGTGTTGACTACAATTAAAGATTGTTTAAAAATTATTTAATATCTCAAAAAATTGGTATATTTACACGAAAATCTATAACTAATTTTGAAGACTTTCAATTGAAGATATTAGAGAACGAAAAATAAAACTTTCTAAATTGCTTTAACTTTTTTTAAAACCCTCTCGGACGAAGTATTAACATGAGAGGACTTTTTATCCATAATAAATTACTTTCTCATCAAATGGTTCTATTGTATAAAAAAAGACATAACATAATTCAATCTCATAGAGAAAAAATATAAAATATTACTTTGATTGCATTGTCTACGAAATTTCATCCGTTCTTCAACATTCCCTAATAAGATTGCAATTTGAAATTGTCTACTAACATCTTATCGTACTTCAGCTAAACAAAAAAAATAAATTAAAATAAAAACAATAAGAAATTTTTCAAACCAATTTTCATCATTTTTCAAAAAATAGATAATTGAAACTATTTAAAAAAAACCACAAATAATTTACATCAATATTTCTGTATTCAAGTGCTAAGCCAAATCTTGTTTTTGTATCATTTGTTTTCAAGATGAAGATTTTTGAAAAGAAATTTGTAAATTTTATTTCATCGTATTTTCTATTACTTTAACTTTTGTTATACAAATATATAAATCAAGTATATGAATAATTCCACGATCACCATTCATAAGTGCATACTTAATATGATTTAATGTTGTATGATGAAAAACACCTGACTCATCCTAATAATGATAAGTAATTCGTATCATTTGACCACATTGTATATTTAACTTTTGCCTCTTCTTACACTTGCAAAATAAACATTTTTGTTAAGCATCATATATATTAATATGATCATTTTCACGAATTAATCAAGACCTCTATCAGCATAAAAAATTCCATTACAATCTGTTAATTAAATTTTCTTTTTATATTTTGTATTAATATCCATAAAAAAGATTTAAAGCAACCCGTATGGCATTTAAATCAGATGAACGATGACCTTTACATACTAGAAAAGAATATACATTTAAAATATCGAACAATTTAGATAAAATATCTTTCTCTTTTTGAAATGTTAGACCTTTTTAAAATCCTAACGTTCAATTCGAATAAATCATATCATTCAGAGTTTTATATTGAATTTCTTGATTCACTAGCATCTTTCGAACGTGGACCGTTCACAGTATTTTCAAATAAAATAAAACAATTAATTTATTTTAAAAAATTCTGAAAAAATTTACCTTTGTAATTACATTAGAGGAACACCTTTTGATGTTCTAATTTCCAATCGTCGTGAATATTTGATTATCATGACCTAGCAAACAAATGTTTTATTTTACTTTTAATTTTTGAAAATGAAAAGAATCTTACCAACAGCAAATAAATTTAATGTTGAATGAACTGTTAAAATTCAATATCGATCATTTTTCAATAATTTCATTTAAGTTGAATTAAAATAAAATAAACTGTTTGTTGATATCCCAAAGTTGATCCATCGAATAGATCAAAAAAGAAGTGAATGATATGAACAGGGTGTGGGTGTGGGTGTGAGTGTGGGTGGGTGTGGATGTGGATGTCATTTCAGAGAGGATTCACATACATACCCACACCCACACCCACCCACACCCACCCACCCACACCCACACCCACACCCACCCACACCCACACCCACACCCACACCCACACACCCACAC